GAATGCAAAGGAGCACTAGAGGCAGCACTTGGAGCTGGAGTTTGGAAAGAGCACAGCTGGATAGGAAGCAGAATTCACCACCACACGCAAACGATTATGGGTAGCAAAGAGTTTAACTCCTTAGTTCCTTGCTTGCTGTTTCCTTTCCCAGATCCATGCTTAGTTAGCAATTCAACTTGATACAGAGTCAGAAGGAAAAAGGAATTAAGTCAACACAGAGCCACAGTGGTAGACAGGGAGAGTACCTCTTTTTTCCCCAACACTTAATCTAGGAATGGACTAGAAATGCTTGTTATGTCTGTGGCAGATAAGATAAAAGATGTTATATAACTCAGCCACATGGTTTACAAAGCTGATGTGTGGGCTATTATACTTACAAAATAAAAAAAAAAAAGAGGGCTGGGTGAAGTGGCTCACCCCTATAATCCCAGCACTTTGGAAGGCCAAGGTGGGAGGATCACTTGAGGCCAGAAGTCTGAGACCAGCCTGGGCAATATAGTGAAACTTAGTCTCTACAGAAAATAAAAAAATGAGTCACGTGTGGCAGTGTGCACCTGTAGTCCTTCCTACTTGGGGAAGCTGAGTGGGAGGTTCACTTGAGCCCAGGAGTTCAATCCACAGATTTGGCTCCCCAGAGGTCCTTAGGGATCACAGGCATGATCCAACCCATGCCGCCCCGCCTAGTCTTATTAAAAATGGACTATAAAGGGCTTTGATAACTCATCCCCCACTCAACCAACATGGTTATACAAATGGAACAAATTGACCTTATGTAATGACATTCTTTCGATTGTCATTTTTGTACATCTATTTGGCCATTCTCTAATACTAAGAGAACTGATCCCCACAATAATTGACCCTATACCTCATGCTTATTAGTGTAAAAGACAGGGAAGAAACAGCTAAGGTGGCATCCATCTATCCTGACAACCTAAGATTCAACTCTGCCAGGGCTAAATGTTTAGACACTTGGAAGGCAGAGTCTTGTCTTGATTATTTTCCTTACGATCCTGATACCCCTTAAACTGCATTAAAAAGCAAACGATATTAAAATGTATTTGTGTGGAGTACATCGAAATTAAGGAGCACATGGCTAACCACCACCAACTCAGGTGAAGTTGCCAACATGTTTACCACTATAAGTAAGTGTATTCATTAGTGGTTAAATAAGAGGTAAGTAACAAAATATAATGTTTCGATTTAAAAGGACCAACTTTAAATTGGAATTTAGCCCACAATAATCCCAAACACATTAATAACAATATTTGCTTTTTGATAACTCCATTAAACCATGACATATCATCCATTCTGTAAGAAATAATGTCTTGTGATAGGCAGGGATTCAGTAAAGGCACCAGGCCTACTTTGTTTGTATCTAGTTTAAGCTATGTTTTAATCTTAAGATATACACAACCTGAAGGATTGGTCTGGGTTTGAATCCTTGGCTCTACAACTTACTGTATATCTTGGCAAATTCCTAGCATCTCTGTATCTGGTCTCTTTCATATGTAACACAAAATTCACACACAAACCAACATAAATGGTTTATTATATAATAGTGGTACCAAGCATAAAGAAAAAATGATCAAATGGACTATCAAACACTACAAATTTCTCTGCTCTGTGAAAGCGTAAATTAAGAAAGGAAAGGCAAGGCCAAAGACTAGGAGAAAACACTTACAAACAAAGTGCTGTCCTTTTTAAGTTATACAACTGCCAGAAGAACAAACAGCTGTTTTTTTTTTCGTTTGAAAGCGTCTGCTCTGTTGCCCAGGGTTGAGAGTGGCAGTGGCATCTCATAAGCCCTACGACCTCAAAACTCCTATGCTCACAGTGGATCCTCTCTGCTCAGCTCCAAGTAGCTAGGGATCATAGTGCGTGCACCACACTCACTGATTTTCTGTTTTTGCAGAACGGTGGAGTGTTATGTTGCTCAGGCGGTTGAACTCTTGGTCAAGTGATCCTCCTGCCTCAGACTCCAACATGCTAGATATAGACTGTAGTCTATCATACCTGAGGCCAATAACTGATTTAATAAGGGCAAAACGATTGAAAAGCACTTCTATAAAAAGAATATATACAATGTCTACTAGCCAAGACAAGTTATCTTCACACCATCACAGTCATCAGGAAATGGAATGAACACAGCGACTGTAGATAACTATCTGTACCAGTAAATGGCTAAGTTAAAAAGCGAACTAATATGTGTTGGCAAGATGTGAAAAACATCTCAACTGGCTGGTAAGTGCAAGTGTACAGGCCACTTGAATAAAAGCATGGCAGTATCTTATTAAATTAAACATATACTTACAATACAGTCTACTCTAGTGTTTTAAAAAAATAAATGACAACAACATCACACAAAGACATGTATGGAATGTTATAATCAATATTATTCATCATGTAGGCCCACTCTGGAAACAACCCAAATGTCCTATTTCTTGAATGGATCAACAAACTTGCATTCTATTGTCGATACTACTCACAATCTCCAACAGGAAAGACTTCAAATCATTATGCTAACTGAAAGAATCAAACGAGGAAAGCCAATGTAAGATCTCTATTTACATGAAATCCTAGAAAAGGCAAAACTACAGTAGGCAAAACCAGATTAGTGACTGTTGGGGTGCCCTGGTCGGAAATGAGAGTGACTGCAAATGACGTAAGAAAACTTTTAGGGTGAGGAAACTGCTTTTATACTTTTGATTGTGGTGGGTAGTTTCGAAACTATTACCAAATTCATCGAACTGTATGCTTAAAAGGATGAACTTTTATTATAGTAAATAATACTCTCCAATAAAAAACATTCACAGAGGCTTAGACACAATGTTCAATATGAGTAACAGACACCAACTAACTAAAGTATATGAAAGAATTCAATAAAGTAATTAAAGCCAGGGCGCTGGGGCTCACGCTGTAATCCTAGCTCCTTGGGAGGCCGAGGCGGGCGGATTGCTCAAGGTCAGGGCTTCAAAACCAGCTGAGCAGAGCGAGACCCGTCTCTCTATAAATAGAAGAAATTATTGGCCACTGATATATATATAGAAAAATTAGCTGGGCATGGTGGCAAGGCCTGTAGGTCCCAGCTACCGGGAGGCTGAGGCAGAAGGATCACTCGAGGCCAGGAGTTGAGGTTGCTGTGAACCTAGGCTGATGCCACGGCACTCACTCTAGCCTGGGCAACAAGCGAGACTCTGTCTCAAAAAAAAAAAAAAAAAAAAAAAAAGTATTATAGATCATGGTATGAGGATTAAATAAATAACAACATAAGGCCTTGCCTGGCTTGCAAGTTACTTAAAAAGTGATTAGCTATTGTCTTTGACCATATACTTTCCCCTACCTCAATGGTCTTCTTTAGTGCGGGCCTTTAACTAAATTAACAGCTATTTCTACACTGATGATCACGACACAATGCAATAAAATAAAGATTATACAAACTGTTACAAGCAGATCACTGATATTACTCATTAATGGTTTAATTTTAACATTAAAGGGAAGTATAACTGTGTGAAGAATCCAAATTTGGTTTATTTGTTTCTCTTACTTCTCGATGATCTAGGAGGATATAACCAATAGGTTTTGGCTTTGTAATTCCCAGACAGTGTTAGCCACATACCAGAGCATCCGAAAACAACTAAAATGAAGCAGCCTCTACTTTAGGGTGAGTGGGAGGAGGTAGGCTTCAGTGTTCTGTTTTATTAATAGAACAAAGGTAGATTAATATTCTTCTCACATCTATTCCTCTTCATTTTAGTGAAATATAATTCGGAAGAGGGAGGGAGGGAGGAGGAGGAGAAGAAAAACCAGAATCTCAGAGCTACTCTCTCACAAAATCTATCATTCTTACTCAATCTCTCAACTGGGTTGAACACATTCTACGGATTCAGATGAATTAGTTACAGAATCTACTAAGGATCATTCTCATTCTCAATTCTCACTATCCTGGGCTCAAGCAATCCTCCTGCCTCAGCCTCCCAAGTAGCTGGGACTACAGGTATGCGCCACCACACCCGGCTAATTTTTTCTACATATTTTTTTTTAGTTGGCCAATTAACTTCTTTGTATTTTTAGTAGAGACGGGGTCTTGCTCTTGCTCAGGCTGGTTTTGAACTCCTGACCTTGAGTGATCCACCTGCTTCAGCCTCCCAGAGTGCTAGGATTACAGGCGTGAGCCACCGCGCCCGTCTATCAAGGACTTTCTTAAGTGAATCTAGCTTTTATTCCTTATGTAAACAGGGGATGAGTGGCAGTGAAAAATACCATGACTATTAGTATAGGTGGTGCCAGTGCCTTGATGTGTTAAGCAGTCAGGTTTTTTTTGACCTTTTAATTTTTATTACTCAGAAAAGCTTTTTTATTTTTTTTAAATTTAGCTTTCTGACTCTGTGCTCCACACTTTCACAACAACTTTCTTCAATAAGGAAAACACACTGGATCCTGTCACGGACACATTTAGCACACATGGAACCACCGTAGGCCCTGCGGACATGCTTTTCTGTTTTGGACAACCTCTTAAGAACTTTAGGTCTCACAGCACAAACTCCTTGAAGTCTGCCTGGCACACTCCACATGCAGATTTCAGTGCTTTCCCAACCTTGTTGGTATAAAGGTAAACAATTCTGTTACCTGGGGTTCAGGACAACCTAGTTCTGTTAGAGGATGTATTCCTGAATGCCTGTGATGGTATGTCAAACGCCGGGCCATTCTGAGTGCTTCCTGACAACATCCTTGGAAGAAGGGGGAGCAGTGTTTACCACTGTAGCTCATGTGCCATCAGTGCAAATGTCAACACAGTAAAAAGGCAAATAACATCTCAGTGTTTTTATGAAAATAACTGACATATGGACCCCGTAAAAAAATCTCAGGGAAAATGCAGGATCCTTGGGCCATATTTTGAGTGCTAGTACTCTCTTTTGGCAAGGATAGGATCCACTGCTCCAATATAATACAAATATAGTAATAAATCTAAGCAAAGCAAAACTCAAAAAATACCCTCTTACCTTTGCCAAGACTAAAGACAAATGGTTCATTTCTATCATGACTGGAATCAAACTTCTTTCCATTTGATAATTTTCCTTTGTAATGGACATAAACTTTGTCTCCAATCATTGGCATTTCCTCACTGCTCCCCACTCTTTTGACAATCTAGAAAAGACAACATCAAGAAAAAGGAAGTGAAACTTTTTACTTATAACCAGAGAATTTAAGGTCACACAGTTCATACCAAGACACTCAGGCAGATCTGCAAATATACTACTATCCATCCTTTCCAGAGGCTTCCTTCATAATTCTCAAAATAACCATCACTGTTAGAAAATTGTCCTTTACTAATATTTTTCTGTTATATTTACTTTTATTCCTGATCACACCATTTATTCCCTCAAAAGAGTTAACCAATAAATACTGCTTCATTGGGTTAGCCCTATCCTTTTGACACTAAAATCTTTCAAAATGTAAACTTGTGAGCTAGTCCGTATATAATCTGACTTAGACCAGAAAGATTGGTGGATTTTTAAAAATGCTCAAAAAGGGCTGGGCGTGGTGGCTCACACCTGTAATCTCTCTGGGAGGCCAAGGCGAGCAGATTGCTCGAGTCGGGTGTCGAAACCAGCCTGAGCAAGAGCGAGACCTTCTCTACTATAAATAAGAAAGAAATTAATTTGCCAACTAATATATATAAAAAAATTAGCGGCATGGTGGCGCATGCCTGTAGTCCCAGCTACTCGGAGACTGAGGCAGAAGGATTGCTTGAGCTCAGAGTTTGAGTTGCTGTGGAGCTAGGCTGATGCCATGGCACTCTAGCCTGGGCAACAGAGTGGAACTCTGTCTCAAAAAAAAAAAAAAAAAAACAATCTACATCTATGCCTTCCCCCAGTAGTTCCTCAGTATATTTAAGTAAAGTAGTGCTTGAACTTTTTTCTTACTTTGGTAAGTGAGTTCCATGTCTCCCTATAATTGCTCTGACTTTAGGCCTTACCATCATGCCTCCTTGGGACCACTGAGGCAGAGCCCAAATCACATTTCTGTAGCAACTTTTAACTGTCTCAAAGGACTTCTTGACAAAATTGTTCCCCTAGGTGAAACTGTTAAACAGACTGTATACTCAAGGAAAAATGGTTAACTTGTACACATCCCTTTAGCCTGGATATTATACCACCTGTTAAGAACAATTTAAAATTATTTATCCTTTGCTATAAAATGTGATTATATAATATTTATACTGATATAGAACATCAAGTCGGTATAATAGATATTAGGATTAATCAGCATGTGAAATGCTCAAGAAGCCAGTCCCAGCGACACCAAAACTGTAAAGAGATTCCTAAGTTTGCCGCAAATACATATATGGCATAAGCAGAAGGAGATTTAAAGATGTCTAGTTGGGAACACGTATCGGACAATTATGTAATTCTCAGTTATCCAAATGACTCGGTTCATGTTTCTTAAGTAATCTGGAGAAACTAAGGTGCCTACAGGTTAAGAAATTTGCCCACGATGGGAGATCGCCTGGGAATACCAGGTGCTGTAGGTTTTGGCCAGGTGCAGTGGCTCATGCCTGTATCTTAGCACTCTGGGAGGCCAAGGCAGGCGGATCATTTGAGCTTAGGAGTTTGAGACCAGCCTGAGCAAGAGTGAGATCCCGTCTTTACTAAAAAAAAATAGAAAGAAATTAGCTAGACAATTAAAAATATACAGAGAAAAATAAGCTGGGCGTGGTGGCGCATGCCTGTAGTCCCAGCTACTCCGGAGGCTGAAGCAGAAGGATCACTTGAGCCCAGGAGTTTGAGGTTGCTGTGAGCTAGGCTGATGCCATGGCACTCTAGCCTGGGCAACAGAGTGAGACTCTGTCTCAAAAAAAAAAAAAAGTCCAAAAAGAAGTCTGAGAGCAAGGTTTCAAAGGTGTGATTTTATTTATTTCCCTCCTTTGGTAAAAATATTAGCTTCTGACTAAAGTCTCCTAGATTGTTTTAATTTCAGAAAGTTCTATTTCCTGGTATAACAGGTTACACTTCCTATTATTTGAAAAACACTCAATCTGTAACATTAGTATCATCACACAGTTTAATATGATACTGAATAACTTGTTTTCTAGTAAAGGAAATACCAAAAAAAAAAAAAAATCCAAGCTGAAAAGTATTCAGCTATTGTAAAATCCAGTGTATTTATTTTGTTCTTGGCAGAGCAAACTGCTAATGCAGTTGGTCAGTTCTGGGAAAAGTAAATCAAATCCAGGCATGTGGTAGTTAATTTAGTCTGTCAATTATCCATGCCAAATGAATCATTTTTAGTAGGTAAGAGAGGATGGTAGCTAAGATCCGATGAACATATTTTTGGGGGAAGTTTTTATTTAAAGAATTCAATTATTTGCTCTGAAATTTTTCTTTTGAGTTGTGTCCCCCTTCCCCCACACCCAACATAAACACTGTGGACTTAGATTCTACAACTTTCTTACTCAAAAGTCCAAACACTTTTTTTTAAGAGACAGGGTCTCACCTTGTCACCCAGGCTGGAGTACAGTGGCCCAATCATAGCCTCAAACTCTTGGGCTCAAGCAATCCTGTCTCAGCCTCCTGAGTAGCTAGGACTGCAGGCATGCTCCAGCACGCTCAGCTAATGTTTTTAAATTTTATTTTGTAGAGACTGGGTCTCACTATGTTGCTCAGACTGGTATCCAGAGATCCTTCCACCTTGGTCTCCCATAAGTGCTGGGATTGCAGGCATGAGCTACCACACCCAGCCCCTAAACACTCTCTAAAGGAAAAACATTCATTACTGCTCTTCTGGGACTTCAAAAGAAAAAAAAAAGTTAAAAATAATTAATCTAAAAGAAATCACAAGACATTCTACAAGTGCTCATGTTCATGAACTGCATGTGGTGTTTCAGAGCCTATGCCCAACTGTTAGTCCCACATTAAGGGAGTCTGCATTTCTAGGACTATAGACAAATAATTGGGGTATGGGATGAATGGCTACCAGGGAGATAGAGAGCCACCCACATCACAAGTCATGCTGTGGTCTCACTTCAGGCTTCCCCAGCAAGAAGAACCTGAATCTGGAGTTGCCTTAAGTATACAATGTAGTCTCAGTTCATTTAAAAAATGTAAGCCCAAATTGCGTCTTCCTGTGATAGTTACTGACTTTCCACACCTACCTAGGTTCTTTTATTAAAAAAATAAAATATTTAATAGGAGAGATTACTGTAGAACAGGCACTGTGCTAAGTGCTTTACCTAATCCTGGTAACTATGAGATTGGTGGTATTATTATTCTAATTTTATAAACAGGAAATTTAATCACAGAGAAGTTAAACTAAATTGCTCTAGATCACACAGTTACTAGACCTGTTTAATCTTAATCAAAAGCCCCCAAAGTGAAAAATGATATGATTTAAAGGGCTTCCAATCTCAAACGTTTCTTATAAGCCTAAGAATCCTATTGTTAGATTTATTCCCTAGAATAAAGCAGAGTCTGAGGCAAGTTGAGGACCATGTTCTCTGGAATGGGCACTCTGAAAAGATGAAAGGGAAAGCCTTAAGTAGAGGTAGGGAGATGCTGAGGACAGCCTGCAGAAGCTCCACTGTCTCTAGGAACGCCCTAGAATTTGGGATGAGTGTTGTTGGGATGAGCTACAGGTTGAGAAAACTTCTGAAAGAAGGTATCATAATGTAAATCTGTAGCATAAAACCCTTATTCTATACATGCAAGTCTCCAACTTTGGCTTGGCACATAGAAAGTGAATAGCAATACACATATATTCAGAAGAGATTTAGGCAAAAAAGAAAGCCTTTCAAATAAGCAGTATTTTTTATAAAACAAAACAAACTCAAAAATTCTTATCTGCTACTACTGACACAGGAGATATTAAAACTCAACACAGTGGCAATATTTAGAATGTATAAGATAATCTTTTCAGGCAAAGCAAAACAAAACTATACAAAACTTCTATGTGTAATAATAGCACAGAAGAAATAACTACTTAGGCCAGGCATGGTGGTCACACCTGTAATCCTAGCACTCTGGGAGGCCAAGGTAGGAGAACCTCGCTTGAGCTCAGGAGTTCAAGACCAGCCTGAGCAAGAGCGAAACCCCTTCTGCACTAAAAATAGAAAGAAACTATCTGGACAACTGAAAATATATAGAGAAAAAACTAGCTGGGCATGGTGGTGCATGCCTGTAGTCCCAGCTACTCGGGAGGCTGAGGCAGGAGGATTGCTTGAGCCCAGGAGTTTGAGGTCGCTGTGAGTTAGGCTGATGCCACGGCACTATCTAGCCAGGGCAACAGAGTGAGACTCTGTCTCAAAAAAAAAAAAAAAGAAAAGAAATAACTACTTAATGTGACTGAAGCCACTAACCAACCTCTCAGCTTCAGTTTATTTACTTGTAAGACTGAAGAATCAAGGGGTGCTCTGAATTCTGTATTTTATTGGTATCTCATACCACTGTGACTTACGAATTAAAAAATGGGAAAATGATTAACTACAGAGGCCGGGGAAGTGAATGGTTTTACCCAGAGGGCCCTGCGCCGCCTTTCTCTGTGGGCCCCAGCGCTGCTGCCTGCTCCTCCCCGGCCACGGCGTTCACGTTCGCGGCCTTTTGCTACATGCTGGCGCTCCTGCTCACCGCCGCGCTCATCTTCTTCGCCATCTGGCACATTATAGCATTTGATGAGCTAAGACTGAACCCATAGCCCAGTGTAATACCCTGAATCCTCTTGTACTTCCAGAGTACCTCATCCATGCTTTCTTCTGTGTCGTGTTTCTTTGTGCAGCAGAGTGGCTTACACTGGGTCTCAATATGCCCCTCTTGGCATGTCATATTTGGAGGTGTATGAGTAGACCAGTGATGAGTGGACCAGGACTCTATGACCCTACAACCATCATGAATGCAGATATTCTAGCATATTGTCAGAAAGAAGGATGGTGCAAATTAGCTTTTTATCTTCTAGCATTTTTTTACTACCTCTACGGCATGATCTATGTTTTGGTGAGCTCTTAGAACAACACATAGAAGATTCGGTCCAGTTAAGTGTATGCAAAAAGCCACCAGATGAAGGGATTCTATCCAGCAAGATCCTGTTTCCAAGAGTAGCCTATGGAATCTGATCAGTTACTTTAAAAAAATGACTCATTTTTTAAATGTTTCCACATTTTTGCTTGTGGAAAGACTATTTTCATATGTTATACTCAGATAAAGAATTTAAATGGAATTATGCATAAATTAATATAAAATGATTACCTCCGGTATTGACAGGTTTGAACTTGCACTCCTTAAGGAACAGCCATAATCCTCTGAATGATTGCATTAATTATTGACTGTCCTTAGTCCATTGGAAGCTTTTGTTTATAGGAATTGGTAGGGCTCATTTTGCTTTTATTGAAACAACATCTAATTATAAATGAGCTATAGATAGAGCTCAGGTGCTTCTGATGAGCTGGAAATGTATATCTGACTCATGGGAAACTTCATGGGTTTCTTTTTCTATCATGTAGATGATTACATATGGGTACATCTACAAAAATAAGAGTAGGATTTTTTTCCCTTCAACTTGAATATTACCCCTATATATTGCATGAATGAGAGATTTCCCATATTTCCATCAGAGTAACAAATATACTTGCTTTAATTCTTAAGCATAAGTGAACATGATATAAAAATATGCTGAATTACTTGTGAAGAAGGCATTTAAAGCTATTTTAAATGTGTTTTTATTTGTAAGACATTACTTATTAAGAAATTTGTTATTATGCTTACTGTTCTAATCTGGTGGTAAAGGTATTCTTAAGAATTTGCAAGTACTTTAGATTTTCAAAACTGAACAAGAGAGAAAATTGTACAACTATCCTGCTGTTCCTTTAGTGCAATACAATAAAACTCTGAAATTAAAAAAAAAAAAATCTCAGCCACTTGGAAAGCTGAGATGGGAGGACTGCTTGAGCCAGCCTGGGAAACACTGAGACACTGTATCTAAAACAAATAATAGTAATAACAGGCCGGGTGTTTAAGACAAGCCTGGGTAACACAGCAAGACACTATCTCTACAAAAAAAAAATTAGCCAGACATAATAGCATGTACTTGTAGTCCCAGTTACTCAGGAGGCTGAGGCAGGAGGATTGCTTGAGGCGAGGAGCTCAAGGCTGTGGTGAGCTATAATGTCACCATTGTACTCCAGCCTGGGTGACAGAACGAGACCCTGTCTCTTAAAAAATAATAATAATAATACTTGGCTGGGCAAAGCGGCTCACGCCTGTAATCTTAGCACTCTGGGAGGCCGAGGCAGAAGGACTGCTTGAGCCCAGGAGTTTGAGACCAGCCTGAGCAAGAGCAAGACCCTGTCTCTACAAAAAATAGAAAAATTAGCCAGGCACCATGGTGCACGCCTGTAGTCCCAGCTACTCAGGAGGCTGAGGCAGGAGGATAGCTTGAGTGCAGGAGCTTGAGGTTGAGTGAGACTCTGTCTCAAAAAGAAAAAAGATGATAATAAATAAAATAAATAAAAACAAAAACCTCAGAGTTATGAAGATGAAGTGAGAGTTTATATTGTTTAGCACTGAGCAAGCCTCAATAAACATTATCCACCCCCAGCTCCCCTCAAAGAAAGATTTTTATAAACAATCTTTCCAGATAGCAGATTTCCCTGCATGTCATTCAACTTTGTGGCCTCACCTTTAATACTCCTCTATCTTTTTTGGAGGTAATATCCTCTCCCTGTTCAGCAACAGTGGCTGCCGGGCTTTCTCCATTGTTCTTGGCACCTTCATCAGTAGTCATTGTCTTTTATAAGTAGAAAACCTGCCAAGAAGAAACATATTTTAGCAAGGAAAAATATCACTTCTTTATGCATCTTAAATGCCCCTAGGAACTGAGCTTTACCCAACCTAAGATTTACTTAGGGCCAGTAAGGTTAGACACTGAAAATGAAAACAAAAGCATTTGCTATGAGCAGGCACTGATGTCATCAGGTAGGGAAATAAAACATCATTCAATTCTTTAATTTCCCATCTAGTTCTGGGCCCAAATTAGAGAGTGGTACAAGTCAGATTTGGTGCTGATTACATTCCTTAACACAAATACACAGTGACAAGACGTCCTCTCAGAACTTTGAAAACATCCTTTTCCTATAGCCATATTCTTAAGAGAATTAAGAACTTCTCAGGCCATCTGATAAAGAAGTGGCAATCTATCACAGTGGTCAACAGAACAGGCTACAGAAGCTGACAGGCCTGAGTCTGAGTCCTCGTTCCAAGCTCCTGACATTAGCTATTTATTTAATCTCGTTGAGCTTTAGTTTCTCATCTGTAAAATGGACATAGTACACTGTTCATACAGTTACAGTAAAACATTAATGAGATAACATATATTAAAAGATTAGCACAGAGTCATAACTTAAAAATATAATATATATCATCATTAGTGGGTCTTCTCTGCAAGGCCACATTTTTTATCTCCTGCCTTCCCCATGATATTCAAGGCCCTTCACAATCTGGCCCTAACTTATCTTTTGGTTCTAGCTTCCACTACTTTCTTCCATGAAACTGATGCTCTAGCCAAACTAGACCAATTCCAATGCCACACCGATAACAAGTCCGGTGCTTTCCCATAGCCCTGCTTTTGGTTACTCTCTCTTCTTCCCCAAAACATTCAACATGCCGACCATGACGCTATATATGGAGGTCATTTTGCCCTTTTAGGTACTTCCTTAGCTCTTCTCTCAATTTGTTGTCTATAATATATTCATAAGAAGACATGCCTATTAGATTTAAAAGATTCTTCAGAACAAGGGCCATGATTTGCTCATATTTAGATTCCCTAGAATGCCTTTTTTTTTTTTTGAGACAAAGTCTCACTTTGTTGCCAGGGCTAGAGTGCCATGGCTTCAGCCTACCTCACAGTGACCTCAAACTCCTGGGCTCAAGCGATCCTATTGCCTCATCCTCCCGAGTAGCTGGGATTACAGGCATATGCCACCATGCCTGGCTAATTTTTTCTACAGGTTTAGTTGGTCAATTAATTTCTTTTCTATTTATAGTAGAGACAGGGTCTCACTCTTGCTCAGGCTGGTTTCAAACTCCTGACCTTGAGGGATCCTCCTGCCTTGGCCTTCCAGAGTGTTAGGATTACAGGTGTGAGTCACCGTACCCAGCCTAGAATGCCTCTTTTTGAATGGTAAGACAGAAAGTGTGAGGAATTTGTAATAGAATTTGGGTGTTCTTTCTCTGCTCCTTACAAGCTGTTTGTATGTTGGCTACTTTAATTTCTCTAAGGCTTCCTTCCTTACCTGTGTAATCAGAATAAAAACATCTATTTTCATGGGTGACCTCCTGGATTAAGTTGCATAATGTATATTTTAAAAGTATACTATCCAAATGTTAACTCTTATTGTTATTGTCTGTCATCTGAGAGACACTTTTTCATGCAAAACAAAGCAATGTAACAAATAGGCTAATCAACAGGTTACACAAAACACACCCAGCCACTGCCATGATGAATTCCACACTGCTCCCTGATTGATCAGGGAAGACCAGGAATCAACCACTTCTAGAGCTATCAGGCTAATAACAAACTTAAGGCTGACCTCCTGGGCCCTCTTGTCTACACAGGTTTTGTACCTGTGAAAAATGCATTATTGATACAACCAATAATTCAACAACTTAAACATATATTGTAGTGTTTTAACTCATTTCCAAAGGACAACTGTTGACTTCAATGTCAACAAAGACACAAAATCAAACTGCTTTGGCCAAAAATCTTCAAAGAGAACACCAAAAACCAGGGACTAAGCCCCTGTGCTTTAGTTTCTAGTACAGTTTATACCAAACAGAAGAGATCCAAATGTTTGGTTCAGGATAAGCAAAAGGCCAGAACAAATTGTTCTCAAACAAACAACAAAAATTAAGTACCTAGGCTCTACATGATGCTGGGCAAGATAATCAGGAAAATCAGATGAACAGGGATGGAACCTACTGCTTATAACACACTTGTCTGATACACAGGAACTTGTAGAAGGCACCTCAACAACAGAGAGAAAAGGTCTTCTAAATATTTTTGGGGTCATGGACTATATCCTTGGGAAAATACATGCACACAAAAAATTTCCTGAGGCTTCACAGATATATTAACATCCATCAATAGACCCCTGGGTAAATTCTGGTTTAAAGCATTGAACCAATTAAAAACACCAGGTGTACGAGTATTGGGAAAGAACAGCCACACAGTCCCAAAGTACCACCTTACAGATTACTATTAAAAATGGATACAGCAGGCTGTAGAAGCTAATAAAAATAAGTAAAAAAAAAAAATTTAAATTCTTTTCTTAAAAAAAAATTTAAAAAAGCAAAAAAACCCCAACAAAACAGAAAAAGTACCTTTCCAATGAAATGATCTGACTGATATCAGCCTAATGAGCAATCTGCATCACAATCAAACTCTGCAACAACAATGAGACAAATTGGTATCACTGTGGCTCCTGATGTGATGTAGTGGGAAATATATGTCACCTATGTGGTATTTCTATGAAAAACATTTAACCAGAAACTAACCAAGAAGAAATGACAAAATCAGATTGTAGAAGATTCTATAAGACAATTGACATAGACTTCTGAAATATGTTAATGTTATAAAGGACAAAAGAAATAAAAGAGGGGTGGGGAGAAAAAGAGACAGGAGACATGTTCTAGATTAAAGGAGACTACAGGGATATGACAACCAAATGTAACCAGTGATAATCCAGTTTGATGCTGGATTAGGGGGGCAAAAACTCAATAAAAGGACATCTTTGGGAGAATTATAAAAATTTTAGAAAAAATAGGCTGTATATTAGTTTATTTTTATTATATAATGTAAGATCTGGAGTGTTATATAGTATTGTGGTTTATGTAGAATAATATTCTTATTCTTCAGATACACATGCTTAAGTATTCATGGATGTCATGATGTCTTTCACTTGTTTTCAAATCAATCACTGAGAGAGTTTGCACATGTGCAAATGTCACAGAAAATTAAAAACAAGCATTGAGCAAACATGATCACAACACATCCAAAGACAAGGCTTTCTTTCAAATGCTCATGATTTGGAGTTCAGCTAAATTTTTAAATGAAAATATTATTGATAAAGAAACATTTTCTTTGGTTCTAACCTTACTGCTCTGGAAACAATGCCTTACTTAAATTCAAATAAATAGGAAACTTATATAAGTTGATCTGCCAGCTTTACAAAGTCCCATATGATAAAGGAACTTGCTCTTCATTTTTTGTTCCAACACTTCAAAGGATACAAGTAATTAATTGTATTAATACTTAGAAAATTCAGTTCATTTATTTCTCCAGATTCATCTGCTTTTGAAAGTTCAGAAAAGTTTGTTTTCTCATTGTTTTTATCTTTCTGTTTTAATTATTCATAGTACTTCTCTTCATATGGACTCAGTACTACTGACAAGAACCATCCTCTAAGATTACTATGATTACTTGTGGTGTCCTTTAATATTTCCCCTTCATTTCTGTTAAGCCTTTAGGAGTATAGGTTTTTGTAAGCAAACAAAACAAGTAAGTAAAACTCCTTTTCCTTGATCGAGTGTCACATGAAAAAGACAGAAAAAACAGACAATTCCTAAAAATCTTTAGGACACACTGAGAAAGTTTCATTGTTTTCATAAGAGAGACTTTTCTTCTTTCCCCCACCCTGGATTTAAAACCACTATGTAGCTATGGATATTAATCTATGATAAAGCTTACTGTGCCAAACTGCCCAAAGGTGGAAAATTGCTACCTAGTAAGTCGGAAAGGGAACACACAGTTTGTTCTGTTATGGACATGCCAGATAAGCACAGACTCTCCAAAGTGCTAGTCAGCAAGCACCTGACACGTAACAGAAAAATGACAATATGCTTGATATTTCATTAACAGTGTACTAAAAACTTAGGTTAACGTAACTAAATTATCAGATCTCTCTAGATGAGGAGTTATCTTAAAGCCTTACCCGCTAATTCCCCGTATATATTGCAATGCTGTTGTTCTTTGTCAGAATACAGGTATCTTGCATCAGATTACGTTACTGTCTAACAGAAGGGTTTTCAGAAAGAAGACGATTCTTTGGTAAACTCACTTTTCTTCTCAGCACAATTACTGAAGAAAGCAAAGCAAACAGACCAAATTTGCTTTAACTCTGACTGCTTAGTAGAATTAGTTTTTAAATAAAAAGCAGGAAGCAAAGGGCTATATTAATATCAAAACAAAAAACCTAAAAAAATCACACAATTTAAATGTTAATGTTATATAATAAAGAATGAACCTGAATATAGTTTTTCCCCTTTAATTTGATTTTACCCTATTTAGCCTCAAAAATACAGTACTAAGTCATCAACTTTTTCTAAGATGACACTGGGATGACAAGAAAAGGTTTTTAAAATCTGTAAAACCTTAACTGAGCTGGAAAACAAAAAAAGGTGTATATCACTCAACTAGAACCCTGGGGGGATTCCTGGAAACTCACAAGCAGATGAGATCAGGGTGCAGGAAGAACAAAGAGCAAACTGCCTTCCAAACGCCAGCTGCAGAACAGCTCATCCCAGGGGAGCCTGCAGGAGCTCCAGGCCTGGGGTCAGCGTAAGAAGACAGGTGTGGGCCAGGGGAATGAACTGGAGCGCGGCGCTGAGGGGAAAGGCGCTGAGGGGAACGGCGCAGCGCTGTGTTTGGGTTAGGCAGGCCAGGTAAGTTTACTTCCCTCCAGAGCGCACACAGGCGCTCTCGTATTTCCTTCTCTGGAAGACATAAGAATCTTCTTTATTCCTGGAGTT